GAAAACACTGCTCATGAAAATGACCGAGAAAAGGAAAAGGAAATGTCAAAAAGCAAAGAGGGAACTACTTACACTATGCAAACACTTCAATTCTACTGAAACATCCTCGCATAAGCCTTTTTCTCCAGTTCACGCCTATCAGCTATCTGTCAACATATTAACTATTTAAGAGCACTGACTAAGCGTGACTCACTATATTGACGAATGTAAACTTGGAAAATTCCTCACCTTCTTCTTTGCAGCAGCAAGCTCTTTCTTTATACCACCTACACAAAAATGAAGACATTCGTTCCTTTCATTCACAAATGATAAACCAGATCAAGATTTCACTCTATTAGGAATGAAGACATTCGTTCCTTTCATTCACAAATGATAAACCAGATCAACAACTCAAAATCATTTCATGCATAGTTACCAATTGTATTGGATGAAACTTCTGAAAAAAGAGAGTATATGCTCCTTACCATCAGTCGGCTCCAACTCTAATGCTTTCTGAAAACTTTGGACCGCATTGTCCAGGTTATTGAGTGCCAAATAAACCTGAAGAAGTAAACAGAGAACTAAAAGTTTTTAAACAAAAAGTGATTGGCCTAGTTTATATATCAATCATGTCAAAACAAAAATGGAGAACTGGTGATCAATATAACTATGATTAACATAAAGTACTAACCTGGCCTTGGCGGAAGTAAGCTTTTGGATTATCTTTTCCGTCACGAATTGCAAAGTCTGCATCCAGCAATGCTCCTTTGAGATCTCCTAACTTCAATTTGCAGGCCTGAGTGAGTGAAGCAAGCCAATTCTCAAATTAGCAGATGCAATAACTGAGTGGTAATAAAGTATTTAAACTGAACAGTGAACATAACTCAACAAGAAATATACAAAATAAATAAATATGACGCAGATCATTTGTTATGCAACAGAAAATATAGAAAAAGTTTGCTAAAAAATGGAGAAAGATGTTCTCAGTCGAGACTTACTGAGCTATTGGTAAGGATTTGAGACTTAGTTTTCATCAAAGATGTACTCTGCTCTGCACAAACCATATGTATGATTTGCTGTCAGCCTAGTCCAAGTACTTAATCGAAAAAATACATTGGTAATAATAACTCGTAATATTTGCATCATGTAAAGAAAAAAGAGTTGCACCTGGAATTACATCCTCCATATCCCAGCACAAATCCATATACTTGAGTGCCTTACGATACTTTCGGATGGCCATCTTGTAGTCTTGTTTCTGCACAAATGTAAAGAAGAAAAATATGTTTAATTTCTGCAAAAAGCTGTTTCATCCAAATAATAATAATAAAAAAAAAAGTATGTCAAATCTAAAACTACCTTATACCACTCGTTCCCCACGGCTTTTATTGACTCTACAGCAGAAATCAACCACAAGACATTAGTAGGTTTCGAATCAAGATCCATAGGCGATTCAGGGTAAAGATCACCATCTCCAAAGAAGTTGATTGTTCCATCATCTTCTCCCTCGGGAATTTCTCCACAGTCGATGATCACAACATCAACACACGGATAGTGATCATCGTCAGTGCTAATATATTCGAGCGCGCGAAGGACCCCAAATCCTTTGATCATCTTACCAAAAACGACGTGCTTTCCATCTAGGTGAGAGGATTGGGTTGTGATGATGAAAAACTGGGACCCGTTTGTGTCTGGACCGGAGTTAGCCATTGATAGTATCCCTTTCCTTGAATGTCTCAGCTCGAAATTCTCATCCTCGAAATGATTTCCGTAAATGGAACCACCAGAAGTTCCATCTTCTGAGGATATATCACCACCTTGAATCATGAATCCTCGGATGATACGGTTAAAGCGTGAACCCTAAAGGAAAGGGACAAATATAAAGTTTTCAAATGGGAAAACCTTAAAACAGAGTGCTAAAGCAATGTGTCGTGATTAATCTCTAGTGTACGCATTCTAAGATGTTGTTATATAGATCAGAAAAAGGTGGCAATAATCACAACTCACGATCGACTTTGCTAACAAGTTCACTATTTCATTAAAGGCAAAAGAAAATGATTGCATAATTTGATATTTAACCTTTTTCAAATGAACTGTAAGAAAGGAAGTACAAAGGAAAATGCAAAAATCTTCAGTTCTTAACCAAAACATAAAATACACACCCATTGGAACCTACAATATGGAAACCAAGAGACAGTAAATGGTTCATTTTTCTGTTCTGCTTTAAGCTGTGTTAATTGTTTTGCTATGGAGCATTGAGAACAAAAATATAAACGGACCCGAAAACAACATCATACATAACAAAGTTAAATGGAAATATAATTGTGTGAATTCAGAAATCTTGGACAAAATACAATAAAATAGTATCAGTAGCAGAAACAACTACAAGAAACAATATGAGTAATGTGGGTTCCTGTTACTCAATGATTACCCCACAAGAACAAAAAGCACTTTAAACAAGATTCATATTTTACAGTGTGCTAACTTTCACCACAAGGCATATCTTGCATCCCCACTACACAATCATGCAGAAAAAGCTCCATCATCCAAACAAAAGTCAACAAGCAAGCTACTTTTCACTCCCAATCGCCACCTGAAACGAAATCCGAAAAACCAACCGCCACTACAGCACAACCATGCACACCTCAAACAGACAAAACAAGAAAAAAACACAAAACGGAAAACACCAAAATGAAAAAAGCCCACAAAAGCCCAAACCTTGTAATGGAGTGGGACGCCAGTGTGAGGGCAGACGCCTTTCTCCCCGGTACACAGAGCTCTGAAATTCTCGGCGGTCTTAGGCACGACGTCGCTGTACAGCTCCACCACCAACCTCCCTTCCCTCTCGCCTCCAATGCTAATATCCAGAAAACACCGCGGGTTCGCCATTTTTGAACCTCCTCTGCAGATCTCAACCGGAACCCAGAAAAAAAAATGGAAAAAGAACTAAATCCGAAACAGACACGGGCTGAGAAAAGCTCTCGGGGACCGAGCTCGATGCCAAAACGCCGATCAGCAAACCCGAACCGTTGGAATTTTAGAGGAGGAAGCCCCCAAAAGGTTTTGCTCTTTTCAAGAATGGGAGACGAAAAGCAGAGGCGAAAAAGCAAAAGCAGGAAAACATTCCTTTAAAAGCAGGCGGTTTTGGGAAGGGACTGAGGTTTAGCGTATTGGTGCAGAAGGCAAAACGGAGGGGCGCAGAGAATAGGATTGGACTGTGTACTGTCACTCTGTTTTTTTCTGAAAAAAAATACTATTTATTATTTAATAAATAAATGAAAATGTTTGAAATTTCTTACTAAGTTTTAATATTCTTATATATCTACCTCCTATTCTTTTTAAATGTCATTTTGGCTTTATCAATTATTAACCAAAATAAATGTCATTTTGAATCTTTTGTATATATTTTTCTATTATTACCCTCATTTAGTTAATAAATATACTACGTCTTTTCATATTCTCTTCATCTTTTTAAAACATTCATCTCTATCTTCATTAATGAGAGTTATTATTGACAAAAAAAATTATTCTTAATTAATGTGCAACTTTCCAAAACGACACTTATTATGAATAGGAGGGAGTACTATTTAATTTGGACAATTTAAAAATCTTAGAAGTTTTAGAGGTACAAGTGTAGAAAAGTGGTTAAAAAGCTGAACCTACTCATTTCAAATTTATAAAAAAGTTTTAAAATGAAATGAGATATTCAATTTATTTATATGTGGCAATTGTTTGGACTTTTTAAGTATAATAATAATGAGATTTTAAATGCAAAATACGAATTCTCATAATATTAATAGTAGAAAATCTTACATAATTTGGAATCTATATATATATATATATATATATATATATAATTGCTAGCTAAGCATTAAATTTTACCTAATAAATAAAGCCTAATAAATTTTACCTATGTGGCAAATCATTAATAAAACCTAATAAATAGAACCTAATAAATTTCATTTATGTGGCATTAATATACCCAATCTCATTAATAAGAAAATATTTTATTACATTTTTGTGGGTTAATTAAGACAAAAACCATTATATTTTATGTTAATTGATTAATAATTATATTTTTTTATTGAATATTATAATAGTTAATATTAAAATTAGTAATTATATTTTATACTAAATAATATATGAAAGTTACATAAAATTATATTTTACACTAAAATCAAT